TGATTGATATTGACTGCTAAGATTAATGTTAAACTAAATATTTTATTTTACTAATTTTTTATGTATAAAGTTTTAAATTTATGTTGTTTAATATAACACTAAAAAAAGGAATTATAATTTTTACGGACATTCTTAATTTTTTATTTATTTATTTATTTTTTTGTCTATAAATAGAAATAAAATTATTCACTTGCAAACTTTTTAAAATAAAAATCATTATATTACCTTAATGTATCTGTCAGCCGTTCTTCAATGCCAATAGTTTCTCTGAAGGTGGAGCTCGATTCAGATATACGTGGTCTCAATAAAATCACCAATTCGTCAAATGATTTAATAGACATACGATAGTAATTAAAAACACGATCCGGATATTTCCTCAAGTCAGAGTATAAGCAGTGGAACTCACCCAAAGTTATTCTCTGAACATTGAGTGGGTGGACCCAATGAAGACGTTGTCGCTCAACTGTGTCAGCAGCAAGCGCAACACATACCAACTCGACGTCGTATAAAAGTTCTAATAGTTCCATATTATATTATTTTAATACGACAAACGGTTTATTCTGTATGACAAATGAAATCAAACTGAAGTATTAAAACTACTACTGAGCTGTAGTATCAAGTTTACATTTTTGCGCCAATTCCGCTACGGAAAAAACACAAGTATGACACTAGTCTATACAACGCGGAAATTTTGCCGCGGAACGTCCGCTGCGGATATTCTGCAAGTGTGACATCGGTGTTACGGTTGTATCTATAAGCGATAATCAATACTACGAATTCGGTAATAAAAATGGCACTACTTATCAACTTTATTCCAGAAATTTATTTACTGTATGATCTGGACCATTAATAGATATTTTAGAAGTTTTAGCCATAAAAAAATCTTTGTGTGGAATGGCTAATATAAAATCTTTTTACAATGGTCAAGGTTTTAAGAAATATTTACGTAAAAGTAAATGATGTTTAACAAATAAATGCAAAATCAAATAAACAAGTAAATGCAAATCCGGTGGAATACTTTGTAATTCTAAATGTCATCCGAACTCAAATTGTTCTAATAAAAAATTGTATTTTATTTATAAATTTTAATAAAATAATAAAATTATTCAAATATATAATTAATAGTTTAATATTAGATAATAATAATTAATAATTTTTTTTTTTTATTAGTTTTTGTTACTAAATAGTTTTTGCTACTAGAATGATTCTGTAACCTTTAAGCCTTTGATGTGTTAGTCGTGTTGCACCGACGTTATCAGTTTATGATTATAGTAATACGAATACTTTATTCACAGCACATCGGACAATGTATAAATTGATTGGATAATACATGTTTAAGGTGGATAATGTATACATTATACTGTTCATTTGGATAAGGTTTAGATTACCTGCGTAATGTAAACACTAATCATTTTTGGACATTACCCGTAACATATACATTAGAAATTGTCGTAGACTCATCACAAAACGTTTGAATAGTATCTACATCTAAAACGAATTGAACTCATTTATTGACAAGATGCGCCTTACTTTTTTTACCTTATAGACATTGGTTCTGCTATCTGTACACACTGTATATACTTATATTTTATTTTATTTCAATAGAAATTAATTTTAAAATAAATACTTATTAATAAATGTTTCTCTGATATACAAATAAATAATACTCGTAGTTTAACATTTTAAAATTATGAGAATTTTATTTTTAACGGTATGAGGTGCGTATAGTCAGTATTCAAACTTACCTCAGGCACCAGAAGAGCTTCTTACGGCTTTGTAGCCCATATGTCCACATTTATCTATCCATATGTGTACCATATAATGGGCGTGTATTTTTAAATGCGTTTTTAATAATATTTTCAAATACATTTCGTATATTATATAAATATAATACATTATAAGATATGTATAATATTGCACTTGGCATATTGTTCAACGTGAATCTTAATTTAAATATTATCTTTCTACCATTTCCTACTCACGGGTTAGTCAGAGATGGTATTTCATATATTTTTAATTATTATCATTAGTTGTAGATAAGTAAAAAATGATTTTAACCTTTCTTTTCTTTTATATTGGAAAAATATAATAGGATAATATTAAAGAAAATTGTATTAAGAATGTTTTCAAAATCAATATTATTTAAAAACAACATAAATCAATTTATATACTTCTCTATGTCGTTATGGTTTAGTCATGGAATTATTAGGTACATATATGTTTTATTTATCGTTTGCTTCTTACATGTATTATATGGTGATAGTGGTGTTAGGTTGGAATATTATAGGGGACCAGGCACGACTTTTCCGATTTATTTTCAAAGTATTATGTTTTTTATTAGTTAGAAAACAGGGTTTATATTTATACCTATAGAGGTATTTAGTGATAATAAGACTTCAGCTATTTTCATTTTATAAAGATTAAAATCAATATTTTCATGGGTTTAAGTTTATTTTTTAAAATTATAAAACAAAAGTGTAGAGAAATTACAATTTGTTACGTATTCACAAATATATCTAATTTCGTAGCTAAATCTACACGGATATGGGAAATTAAGAAGGTATTTTATATTCAAGTATTGATACATTTTAAAATAAATCGAGATTTATATTGTGCGTATATCATTATCTTGATCATAATATTTTCATTATATATCAAGTATATAATACGTATAATAAGAAAATAAATTGTCAAAATTACCCAACATTAACATTAAATCTACGGAGTAGGTAGGCATTTGAAACATCTCTTAAATTTATGATTTAACCATTAAACTGACTTTCAGGTTTGATATTTTTAATGTTGTTTGTTTCAGACAACGAAAAGAGGCAAAATGAAGGTGTCCGATTGTTACGAAAGTTATCTTAGCTTCCTCAAATGGTTCAAAATGACTAGAATAATATGTTCTTCTTGAGTCAGTGGTAAAAATAACAAAAATCCCTAAAGGAAAATTGAGTATTTTCTATTATTTTCAGTATAGAATATATCTATTTATAAAAATAATAAGTAAATAATTTGAAATATGCATTGTAAATGGTTAATTTGTATCACATAAGAAGTTATAAAAATGAACTATTTGATTGCCAATGGGAATACTCATCATTTTGATTACAAAAAACTAAATGAACAACATAATCTGTGAAAGATCATTATTAATATTTAATTGTATAAATAATTAACAAATAGATCGATCATTAAAATAGAAGACTTCAAAGAAAAAAAAACGGACACATTGCGAATTTCTATACTGCGTTTTATTTATATTTAAAGGAATATGATTAAAAATGATAATAAACAATATTCCTAAACTGTTTTGTAATGCAGTTTTAAAGTTTCCTCAAACTAATAAGTAGAGTTAGGATAATGATGAATTTTGCATTTTTTTCCTTTGATTTTATACAATGCTATCCTAGATAAAAATTTGTTCCATGCTCCCTAAATGAAGAATATTCTAATTTTATTATGCATTTTTTTTTTTGTTGAATTTTTAGGCATTATTAGGTATAAATGGATGTTTTTGTTTTTTAACGTAATTTTTCAACATTTTTAAGTCATTTTTACATCTTTTAGGTTTTTGTACAATATGCGGTGTTTTTCTCAAATTTGAGATTTTAGAGCAAGTGTAAAACCCAAGTTTGGAAACACATTTAATAATTAATAATTTTATATAATGCTTAAAATTAAAATATAAATGTGTACTATTGTTTATTAATTTTATAATTTATAGTTCATAATTTAAATTACTATTACTCTCACTATCACACCCATATCTGTAATAAAAATTATTATTTATAAATATATTTTTTTCTTAATAAATTTTATAGATAATTTTTATGGTAATTTTTTTTAAGTTTATAAGGCATTTTGGCACTTTTTTTAGGAATTTTTGCATTTTTTTACGGCATTTTTGTGTGTTTTTTAGGTCATCAACATCCTAATTCTAGTAATAAGAAGTAAAGCATGAAATAGTTTAAAAAAAATAATTGCGGTATTACAAATAATTGTTGATATTTTTTAAAACAAATTATAAGATGACATGATTATCAGATTTTTCTTTTCTTAACTATTATTGTTTCCCCCATAGCTGTTTATTTGTATTAAATAAGAAATATCCTTTTCCATTTTCTTTTTTTACAAGTCAGTATATACTATTTCTTAAAAATTACTGGAGTCTGAAATCAGAGGTGTCTAACTTTTTAAGAATTGTGATCGACTTCTGAATTTTTCTAATCGATCAACCAAAAAATGAAGAAAAAAGTTATCACTGAGCAAAAATGTATTTAAAGTACATTCATGTAAATTACACTTATTTTTATTACCTATTTTAGTTTTGTTTTTATCAATTTTCACAAACGCGATAAAGACCGTTATTTAATAAGGAATAACCATTAGATTACGTACATGTACATACATGGCTACCCGATCTCAGTGTATAATTTCGTTTTTCATACTTTATTACTATTATTATAATTATATATTTCTTTAATTAATTTTTATTAATTTCATTTTTCAGTTGGTGTGTTAAACAAAAACTTTACAAAAAAAAAAAAAATTAATATTTAAATTTTTTTTTCTGAAAAAATGAAAAAACACACTTCTGGCGTAAACAATAATATCTAAAACTTACTAGAATACCTATATGGCTTGACATTTTGTGTACAACCTATTTATGAAGTACTAAAACAATATTTGGTTATCAAATTGAATAATAAGAACTTTGAGCAGTAACTACATCATGGAATCTTGGTATGAGTACTTATTTTATATTATTCTTATTAACATTATTATTCTCAAACTTCTTGTAATAATAACTTCTTTTATAAATAAAATAATCATTGAATTGCAATGATTAGAAACTATTCTATTGCATTCGAATGAGTTATTTATCACACAAATAGCATTATTTTTATAAGGTTAAAATACATAAAATACAAAATAATATCAGATTACAATGCATTGAACAATTTAAATTTGTTTTAAATTATAACAAATTATCATACCTTATTAAATCCACTGGTTAAAATTGACGTTACATCTTTTTCATTTCTCACCACAAAGCTGTAATGGGGAAAAAATAAATTATCAATCAATGAAGTTTCGCATCATTGCCCGTCGAATCACAGTATAAGTATAAAGAAATTGATTACCTTTTCCGTACTAAAGCGACAAGTACAACGTGGGCATTCTTTCTAATTGAACGTAAGGACCTGAAGAAAAAGAAAAAATAAACCAAAAAACATTTAATCAATATTTTGTTGTATGATACAATGTATTGTATATTATCTGAGTTCAGTACGAAAGTTCATAACGTTTTCAATATAATTATCACAAATGCTTTATTACTACATACAAACATAAACAATGCGAGATAATCGTATGTACAAGTTTACGAGACAATCTAACAGAAGTTCTTTTAACGGAAACCCATGTGCAGTATTTTATTGTAAATGCGTGTTACTCATTTTTGCAGCTTGGATATAAAATTAAAAATAAAATAAACTTTTTCTTTTATTATTATAAAAAAATTCACTGTTTATCTACATACATTATATATTATAGTATTTAGAGTGCTTTAGATTTTTCATGCTTTTATAAACTGATTAAAATGTGTTCAGTATACGTTTTGTAAAAGGTTAAAAACTTTTAGCAGCTTCTAAGTTTAAAAGTATGGTTTTATATTAAGCATTGCATTGACAGTATTCATATTCTCTACTTTCCGGAAACAATCTGCAGTATCCTACTTTATACTTACGCATTATTATATGCATACTAATTTTTTACACATTCATGTAGTGTCATATCAATAAAACTCAAAGCGTTTTGAAAGCAACCATGTACTATGTACTCATTTAATTAAACAGTATTAAGCAAACCGACTATGAATTAAGATTATTATATTCTAAGGCAATCGTTTAATATTTTTATTTTTTAGAAACGAATAGAAATCATAAGAAATTGAAATATTATACGATTCTGAGGTACTCAATTGGACCATGTATAAGATAATGGTTTTTTTTATTATCTGTTATAATGTATATGTATTTATAAATACATACACAAAAATATACTAAATGGTTTGAACAAAACGGTATGAATCGATATATAAGTACAGATTGTTTAAGTCGAAGCATAAATATGGAGTGTAAAATAAATATGTAAGTCTTCCGAGACAAAGACATTTAACATTAACCGTAATATATATTAATTTATTTTTTTTAATTTTTTTATTGAAACTTTATAGGTTTACAATTTTCAATATTTACAGTATAAAATTGATATAAGCTAGAATATTAAGATATACATTTCATTTAAAATAATTTACATATAATTAAACGGATAGACCAGTCTCACGGATAAAGGATAATAATCGGATTATAACAGTTTCAGAGTTGGAATTAAAAATAGAAGACAGAGTTAGTTGGATATTTTGAGATTTTAAAAAATTAAAAAGACTTTATCGATTAAAGGATAAAGAGGGGCAACTAAAAATAATATGGAAGAAGTCACAAATTATCTCTTCAGAGTGTTTAGTACAGTAAAGGAAATTATTTAGGGAGAGTTTATAAGAATGTGAAGGAAGTAGATATTGACCGACTCGTAAACGGCTAAATTATGTAATCGAAGTTCTGGATAATTTTAGATTAAAGAACCAAATTTTTTTTAAGATGACGGGAACAACACTTTTATATTTAGAGGCGAAATTAGCCGGAAGACTATTCCAATAGGATGACCAAAAATGATTGATATGTTGTCGCAGAATTGGTATGAAGTCAGAAGAAGGGATTTTACAAGGAGAGGGCAGAGAGATGGAAGAAGTGGAACTCACTAGGTTGTCTGTGATCTCATTGCCAAGGATACCAGAGTGGCTGGGAGCCCAGAGGAGATTAATAGTAAAGTTAGCTTGATTAAGAGAGAAAATAATATTTTTTATGCGGAGAATAAAAAGAGAAAGGCTGGAATTGAAAGGATAACTAATTAACGATTGAACACTTGACATTGAGTCAGATACAATTAAAAATCTGTTGGGAAGAAGAGAAGAGATGAGTGTGAGGGCTTCAATGATAGCAAAACATTCGGCAGAAGATGATAAAGAAACGGGGGAAGATTGTTAGAAAAGGAAATAGTTTGGGTATATTAAAGGAATAGCCTACAGAAAGAGGAGAAACCGAACCATCAGTGTAAACTAATATGAATAGAGGAAAATTATTATTAATGTAATCGAGAAAAAGGTTGTTGATATTGGAAGGGGGAAGGGATTTTAATGTATCAGAGGAAGGACCTAAGAAGCAAGAATCTATATTAATAGAGGGTAAATATAGAAAAGATTCATAAGGGTGATCAAAGCAAGGGAGTAAATTAGAGCTGAGAATATACTCGGGAAAAGAGAATAACGAATTTATAGTGAGTGAGAAAACAAAAAGAGATTTTTTAACATATCGCCAACTAAGAAATAGGGAGAAAAAGTGTCAAAAATGGTAGATTTAGTGTTAGAAAAGGATTTTAGAAGAAATTTTCCAGCTAACCAACGACATTTAATATTGAATAGAGGACAGACAGTTTCAACTTCAATAACAGGTGTAGGAGTGGATCTTAGATAACCCATAATCGTTCTGAAGCATGATGATTGAAGGTTATTGAGTTTATTAAAGACGGAGAATGACGCTAATCCGAAGAGAAAACATTCATAGTCGAGTTTTGATCGAACGATAGAAGAATAAATTGAAATTAATGAAGAATGGTGTAATTCTCACCAGGTGCCAGCAACGGATCTGAGGAAGTTAGACCAGTTAACAAGGAATTTAGATATGAAGGCTATATGGAGAGCCCAACGAAGTTTTGGATCCAAAGTTAATCCAAGATAGGTGACATCAGGAACAAAGGAATGATAGTATTATCAAGGAAGACACTGGGAGGATGAAGAGATCCAGAGATGGCGAATAGTAGTGTTTGGGTTTAAGTTGGTGCAAACATTTTTCCATGTAAGCGTTTTTCTTTTTTTAAAATCCATGCTGTTGTAGCACAAGATTTGCTTTAGGCAGTGAAGTCGGCCATAAAACCTGAGCGGCAAAATATTATAAAGAGAGTAGATCTGTTTTTACAAGCCTCAGTACAGGATGAATTCCACCAAGGAGGGGAAGGAGCATAGATATTTGAATAGGTTTTTTTTTACAGGAATCGAGATACTCGATGCATGGTTTATAATATCGATGAAGGTGGAATAGGAAATATTTGAGAATGTCGTATCTTGTAAAGAAGAGATGTTATTTTAAATATAAAGTGAAAATGATGTCCAATTAGCTTCATTATGATTAAAAGTTAGGGTGTTGGTAGAAGAGGATTCCGCGGACTGGCTAAAAATAGGAGAGTGAGGATTGGGAGAGGAGTTGATGGTGATAAGAATAGGAATGTGGTCACTGCCATTAGGATCATCCAAGGTGGACCAGGTTGTGCTCCAAACCAGATCAGGTGATGAAAAGGATAAGTCTAAAGCCGAATTATTCGAGCCTGGGCGACTAATACGAGTACAGCAGCCGTTATTTAGAATGCATATCCCAAGAGAGTTGACAGTATCATAAATATGAGTACCTCGGGGGGAAGAAAATGATGAGCCCCAAGAAGGATGGAAGGAATTAAAGTCTCCATATAGTAGGGAAGACGGAGGAATCAAATTAAATAATAGTTGCCATAGATCAACAGGAATATGAATATCACCTGGGATATAGCAAGACCATATAGAAAGAGAGGGAAAATGAGTGGACTTTAATAATTCAACGCCAACAATTTTGACCCTTTTTATTATTAAAACGATTTTTTATAACAGGGTTAAAAACAATTGTTTTAGATTTTAAGGAGTTGTGGACCACGATAGCAGAACCAGCATAACCATCAGGACAATCATATCTAAGAAAATTAAGTTGAGGAATGAGAGGGAAGTAACCATGTTTCAGAAAATATAGCGATGGAGCATTTTTAGTGAGCAAGTAATTACTGTAAAGAAGTAATTCGAGCAGGGAGATTTCTGACGTTCCATTATAGGATGTTTAAAGAAGGAAACAAGTTGTAATTACGTGGTACAGACATAGGAAAAATAATATATAAAAGAGTTTGAGTGCTATGGGCGTATATATACGCCCGAATATTGCAGTCCCCACAGGCTATGGGCGTATATATACGCTTTGTTAATTTTTACGCCACAAAAAACTACTACAAATATGAAACTTGCAGTGACCTCTAGCTTATAAAATTCCAAACTATTAAAAAAAAAGTTAAATTGGATAATATCCATGGAATAAACTAATATTTTCCAAAACACGAATTTCAGGGTGCCCAAATTTGTATGGTCACCGAATTATTACTGTCGAATTATTACTGTTATTAATAACTTTTCTCGTTAGAATTATTACTATTATCAACAAATTTTAATTATATGAAAGTGTCATTATATTGTAATATAATTGTTATTATTAGTATTATTACTACTTTTATTATTATTATTATTATTATTATCAATGTAATGTAAAACTTTTTTACTCTACATTTTTTCAACAAGTTTTAATTTTTTTTTAAGTTTATGCATAAATAAATAAATTAACTTAATATTACCTACTACTTGAACTGAAAAAAAATAATAACTTATATTTATTCTTCAAAATAATAAACTATTTAACTCGGTAGACTGCAAATCATCATAGGCATAGAATGGGGGGGGGGTGCTAAGGGGAGCTATAGCCTCTTCAAAATTTTATTAACTCCCTTCGGAATTCTTTTAAGCTCCTTGTGTAATGAAATAAAGGATATAGCCCGCCTCCAAAATAAATCATTATGCCTATGCGTATCACTGTAATTTTAGAACCAATGCCCGTATAAATTTAAAACTTGAAAATCTAAGTAAATATTGATTTTTTAAAACAGTTCTTTTACAAAATTATTTTTGATCGCTATAAGAACCATGACAGTGCATGAAAATGAGACTTAAAAAAAATAAAAAAAAACTCATTACAGGTAGGTAGCAATGTAAATAATAACTTAGAACTGAAAGGAAAAAAGAATGGAATAGAGAGGAGGAAGTGTAACGAAGATTCGATTAAGTTTTGAAGAGTTGAGGAGAAGAAAGGATATAGTAAAGTAGAGGAGTTGATTAGAAATTCAGATAATTTGAGAGACAGAAAGTGAACCCAAGAAAGATCATTAGAGCTTTGTGCGAGTG